GGGCTCCGGGCGGGGCAGGGTCATGGCGCGTTTGTTTGTGCGCCGCGCGTTTTAAACAGCGATGGCTGCTCCCGGCTCCACGGAATCACAGCGTGTCTGGTGGGCATGGTTGTGTTCAGTCATGGGCTGCAAACAGCCATGGCTGCTCCCAGTTCCACAGAATCACAGCCTGTCTGGTGGGCATAGTGCTGGTGTTCAGTCACGGGCTGGACTCTCAGAGGTTTTTTTCTGACAATGTGATTTTGTGAAGCAGTGCTCAGGTGGGCAGCTGAGGGGAAGGGAGAAGAAAAAAGAATAATGTTAAGAAACATTCTTTGAATAGGTGAGTTTGGCTGCTAGAAGTGCAATGACAAAATTTCTTCCCCTTTGAGGTCCTTACTCTCAAAAACTGGGATTGCCAAGAGGATGGGCCAGGCTCTGCTCGGTGGTGCCCAGCAACAGGAGATGAGGCAATGGGCAGAAACTGAGGCACAAAAGCTCCACCTGAACATGAGGAAGAACTTCTTTACTGTTTAATTCTTCTACTTTAATTCTTTACTTCTTTACTGCACTGGAACAGATTGCCCAGAGAAGCTGTGGAGTCTCTCTCCCTCACTGGATATTCCAGAACCATCTGAACACAATCCTATGCCGTGTGCTTTGGGTGACCTTGCTTGAGCAGGAGGTTGGACCAGATTGACCCTTCCAGCCTGACCCATTCTGGGATTATGTGAGGGAAAATGCAAAAAGTAAAGCCTGGGTGTGGTGCTGTAGGAAAAGCTGAAAAAACAATAATTTTAAGAAACATTCTTTGAATAGGTGAGTTTGGGTGCTCAAGGTGAGATGACAAAAATTTTTCCCCCCTTGTGTGTTTTAGCTGTAGTCTCAAATGTTATATAACTCTGGCACACAATTCCTTTGAGGTCAGATTCCTCTCCATGCATGTAGCACCTGGATACAGCCCTTCACTGGGTGACTGTATTGGAGCATCCTTTGTGTTATATTCAAGTATGTGGTCTTCTGAGTGCCATGGCTGAAAGCAAAGTATAGGGCAGCAAAGTTGTTATTCTATTTTTAAAATGTAGTATTTATCCATGTTTTAAATTGCTGTAAAATTATATTTCTTGCCCCTTATTTAAAAAGTGGAGGCATTAATTTATACATCACCAAAGTGAAGTTAGAGTTTCCACGCCTAAAATGCATGCTTCCCAAATAAAGTCAATTAAAAGTCTACTCATTATTTAGGAAGTGTTTGTGTGGAAGTGGGGTTAGCTCAAAAAGACAAAAGCCACCTTGGAATAAGGCAGGGGAAGAAAACCTAAAACAATCTGCAGGACAAGTAGTAGGATAAACCTAAGTATAGGCTTGGTGCTTTGGGGAAATGCAAGCTTCAAAAGAAATATTGTTGATACTAAGTTGTGGTTATGGAAATAATTCTTCAAAATTAGAGCAGAGGGACACCTCACTCCATTATGAGTTTCTCATCAACAAGGAGCTGTGGATCCCAGTCATTGGTCCACTTGGAAAGACAAAAGCCAAAGGATTTGTAGGTTAGACTGGTTCTTCCTTATGGGTGAGGTTCACACCTCAGCATTCACAGCCTGGCAAAGGCAGGTCAGTACTGTGAGGTGTGGGAGGAGACCATATAAAATTTTGATTTAGTCCTTTAAACATTTCTTGATGTGGAAATAATGGGTTTTCCCCAACCTTTCATAACTAATTACTGGGGAGAAAAAAATTGAAGGGTCCTGTCGCAGACATTTTTTATGAAAAATCCTCTCCTTAAGATTTTGCCTCCTGAGAAGCTGAGAGGCCTCAGGAACAAAATGTAAACTTTGATTATCTGCTGCTGTGGAATGCAACAAGTAAATCTTTGATTAGCCCATGTTAAATGTTTGTAATTAATAACCAATCACAGCCCAGCTGGCTCGGGCTCTGTCTGAGCCACAAACCTTTGTTATCATTCCTTGCTATTCTATTCTTAGTTAGCCTTCTGATGAAATCCTTTCTTCTGTTCTTTTAATATAGTTTTAATGTAATATATATAATAAAATAATAAATCAGCCTTCTGAAACATGGAGTCAGATCCTCATCTCTTCCCTCATTCAGGAACCCCTGTGAACATGGTCACAGGGTCCTAAAGCCTGAGCTACAGCAAACAAGACAGAAGTTGCACAAGGCAGTTTCTTTCCTTTAATAATTTAAAGAACAGATTTTATATTTACAGTTAAGATATGATGGATGCCAACCATAAAACTTTCTTTTTATCCAAGCAAACAAGAACGAAGCAAAGAAGCACGATTCCACATGGAACTAGAGGGTTGGAATCCGAACACTGCCTGCATCAATGCAACCAGGACCATGGCTTCTTTAACCACAATTGTTATCATTACATTTATCTGCCCAGAGATTTTCTAACACTGTTCTGACTCTAAACAGAATAGCCCTGATTCAGCATCCTTCTGATATAGGAATAATATTTGGGAAGGCTTACAGACCAATTTTGCATTTGGAGAAAGGAAGGTATGAGAAGGTAAAGTGCCTCAGCAAAACACTGAGAATGTAAATAAATGTTTCCTAACAAAGTTATAGATGAAAACAAAAGATTGTGTAATTATTTTTTTAAAAATCAAGAATATTTGTAATTGGTTTATGCTTTTCTTTGAAGAAGAGATGAAGGCATTTCCCAAGGCTTCTCAGAATGGGCATTTTACAGAGACACCAATTACAAATATAATTTATTAGGGCACCTCTTTTTTTTTTAATTTATGATCATTGATAGCTCAGATTATCTCTAATACTGAACAATAATAAGAATTATTTACTTTTTTAAAGTTTGCTCCAATTGTGCACATGACATGATATTTAATTTTCTGTTCTCTGTTACAGGGAAAGGCAGGTGATTTCAATTAAAATAGCACATGGCAAAACCCACAGAAGAGGCACTGCAGGGGGTACTGAAGCACATCCACCCAGGATTGCCCTGGTTGAACTTCATGTGGTTGGAGATTGCCCAGCCCTCGAATTTGTCTGGGTCTCTGCAGGGCCTCTGTTCCCTCAAGGGAGGCAGCAACTCCTCCCAGTTTAGTGTCCTTGGCACACTTTGTGTCCCTTCCAGCCCTGCATCCAAGTCATTTGTGAGGATGTTGTTCCACAGGGCTGGGGCTGGGGCCTGTGGAAGCCCACTGGGGACAGGACACCAGCCTGGTGTGACCCCCTCCACTGGAAGCCTTTGTGCTGACCCTGAGCCCATTGCTCACCCAGCCCAGGCTGTGTTTATCCAGCTGTGTGCTGGACATTTTGTCCAGAAGGATCCTGGGAGAGACACTATTGAAAGTTTTGCTGAAATCCAAAAGGATTACATAACTGGCTCATTAACATTTTTAATTAGTTCTATTTATAGGATTAATAAAACTGAAAAGCTTTTAGATTCAGAAAACCTTCAAAGGTATTTGCAGAAGTATGAAGTCAAAGTGTCCTGTGTTTTTATGGCTCCCTGCTTGCAGCAGAAGCCTGGAGCATTGTGTTAAGGGACATTAAATCTGATGTTGCTGGCAGAGCATCAACATTCCAGTAACAAAAGTTCTGGTGGGTCTGTTAAAGCTGGTATCAGAGATCCAGGCTGATATCCAAGTGCTGAGTCATTGAGTCAGGATAAACACTGCTATCAAAGAACCTTAATTGTTTGAGAACTTTCAGCTCTCCTCTAGGAACACGAGGGAAAGGTCTGGTCACTTCACCCAACTTCAGCTGTCTCAGACATCCAGTTTGAGGCACTGACTGTGAAGAGAGAGGAGAGGGCACCTCCAGGGCACAGTTCATCCCATCCTCTTTGGAGAGGGTGGAATTTTTGCTTTTGTGTCTCAGTACAGAAGGAGCCTCCTGCCAGAGCTCTGTCCTGGGGCTGCCTTTTCTCCCCAGGTGCCTCACAGCCACCTCACAGATGCCTGAAGCTCAGTGAGATGAATTCAGCCCTAACTGGTAGCTATAACCTAATGATGGAAATCACGTGGCAGCATTCCAGGAGGTATTGGCAATTCACATAGTTCCCAGATTCTTTTTTTAAACCATCTTTTATGATTTGTGGAGGTCAATTATATAAAGCCCATCAGAACACAAGAAATGCTTAAAAATGCTGCATTAGAGAGACATTAATATTAATCCTCCTGGGGTGGTAATGGCTGTAGCCTTCCCAGCCTGCTGCTCTGCCCTGCTGCTTTAATGCATCTCGTTTTTCTATTTACAGATTTACAGATTCTATTTTTGGTGTTAACAAAGAATATGAGCATATGTATCAAAGACTGTTCTCACGTCATCTAATTATAGCACTGCTGGCAAAGTAATTCTGGAAAGTGGCACTTAATTAAATACAAGCATTAACTTTTTGCTGATAGTTTATCAGAAACAATTAGATTTGAAATATGGGGAATACACCTTGAGTTTG